TAACAGACTTTTGATCATCACTGTCCGTGGGTGAACAATTGTATTGGGCGTCGCAATTATCGCTTCTTTTTCTTCTTTCTAGTCTCTTTATCAATACATATGCTAAGCATATTTTCTCTATGCTTATTCTATGTATTAAAGATAATGCCTAACATTAAGCATCCATCACCTATTGTAGCGTACGTATATATAATATATATACTATATATAATTATCTTTATATCGATTCCATTTTGCATTAAATATTTTTTTTTTGTTTTTATTTTAATAGTATAATATTAATGGGCATCGTTACCATACTTGCTATACCAATTTTCGGACTGACTGGTTTTCACATGGTTCTTGTATCCAGAGGGCGTACAACAAATGAACAAGTAACCGGCAAATTTAAAGGTGGTTATAATCCTTTCTCACGCGGTTGTTGGCACAATTGTTGTTACACACAATTTGGACCACAATATCCTAGGTAAGGAAACATTTTACAAAAAACAGTTTACTTTAAATTTACTTTATTAATGTATAAAAATATTTTCTTTTACAATATGCAGTTTACTTAAACCAGAAAGATATGCCTCACGTCGTTCACATAAAGAAAATCAAGCTATTAGCACTATAACAACCGATCGAGATGCCGGTCAGACAGGCGGTGGTGCGGGGGGTATGCGAAGCAATAATATCGCTGGCAATGCGCAACATTCCCCCCGTGGAATTCAACATAGTTACTACGATAGGGATAAAAGACACACTCAGGTAAAGACTTATACGGACCAGGGAAATGGTTATAATCAACGCTCGGGTGGCACAACGCTTTATAGTAAGGTGGGTAAATTGATTATTGTTGCCAATTGTTGTTGTTGTTTTTGTTGATGTTCTCTAGTATTTCTTCTATGCTATTATTTATTTATTTACTTATTTTTTAGTGCAATATACTATTTAGATATTTTTTTTTTATTTTACTTTTAATCTTAAATAGCAATAAGTCGTTTTTGAGAGTAGCACAAACTATTGTTTGAAGTTTTTTTTATAAGATTTATTCTTTTCAGCATGTTTTAAAAAAATTTTTTATTAAATTTTATATATTTTGCTTTTTTTGTTTTTACTTAAATTTACTGGTAAAAATTCTATTATACACAAAACTTTAATATAAATTCCTTGCTTCTGTTTCTGCACTAAGTAATTTTAGATTTAAAAGTTATTTAAATTTTATATTACTATATTCTTTTAAAAAAATCTTTTTAATTGCAAATTGAAATTATAGTGCTGTAATGAACCTTTAGTTTTAGTAATCGTAAGATTTTATTCAATATCTAAATACTTTAAATTCTGTAGACAATTTTTAAAACCACTTTCCTTCGTATTTATTATGTCAACGCTTAATGTTTTCTAAATATTGTGTTCCTGCACTTGTTTAGATCTATTTATCAATATTATTTTTTTATCAATATGTTGTGTTGGATACATTAAAAAAACCTTTTAATGAGGATTAAAAAAAGTGTTAAGTCTATTATACAAACTTGGTAAAAACATTTTATTATGTTATTTGTATGCCAGTTTTCCTATCATAGTTGCTTCTGAAACAATTTTATAGTAATTTTGTGTCAATAAAGATACATTTTTATTTCTCAAAGTATTCCTTCTTATAATCCGGTGTTTTCAAATATTATAACATTTCTTTCTAACTAGTAACTAGAAATCTCCAAAATAAAGTTTTTCTTAGTTAGCCAATACAGGCCATAGTCGACCTTGGCCGCGTAGAGGTGCCTCCGCCAGCCAGCTCGATTAGTTGCTTGCTGTTGCCAGTTGGTAGTACCGAGCACCCCCAAATCGTTTTCCACCTGGTCCTTACACCGAAATGCGGACGTTATCTACCGCGTTTTCCACCTGCGAGTAACGAAGCACTTTATTCTATTAGTACGACATGACCAAGCTAGTAAATCCGCTGAAATTTTATGCGTTTAACTATGTCAATGTCGCGTTAATAAATTGATTTTAAACATTATAGCGACAATCTGATATAATTATATTGATTTCTTTGTACCGGAAAGAACCTTTAAAATAATTTTTCATTTCTTTATATTTCGATTTTTAATTATTTTAAAATATAGTATATTCAATATATTATAGATGAATACAAACACAAGGTTTTTCATAACAAAAAAAACTATGAATACGGGAGTTAAATCCTTTGTTGAAGAAACGGAAAATATTGTTAGGAGGAAGTGGGTGTATTTGCAATAGTTACTGGCATACAAAGAATCGCATATCTGAAAAATACCTTAAATCAAATGGCCCTGATATCTTAAGACCGCTTTATTCCAATATTTTTAGTTGCATATATATAACATATATTTTGGTAGTTCTAATTAAAAATGAATGAAATTTAGACATTAATTGTTTTCTTACTCCTTATATTGTATTTAATTTGCTGTAAGTACAGAATAAAATAAAGTAAGCTTTGAAAGATTTTTAATTATTAAAATTCTTCTTTATTAAATGCTTTTTTAATAAATGGTTTTTTCAAAACATTTGTTTCTCTTCTTAAATTAATCATATAAAATATTTGATAAAATTTAGATAGATTTATTAACTCAAAATTTTATTTTGTGTTTTTTATTGCTCACAATTATGTCACTATAGATGTGCGCATATGTAAGTTTTTGCAAAATTCCACTTACTACCTACCTATTCATTCAAAAATTTATTTTCATTTCTTATTTGTATTATAATTTTAAAATCTTTTTTATTATAATTTTTAATAATAAATTAATATTATTACAACGTATGCCTAAAAAATCACAGTTAAATAAAATTATTACTGCTATTATAGACGAGTTGTACGTTATTTCCTGATTAGCATATACTTTCCACAAATTATATTAGTATAGATAATAAATATAAGAACAAGTAAAATCGCTTATCATTTTGATATATGTTTAATAGTTAGTTCATATTTTCTAACCAGCAAATATACAGGATAATCCAACACATTACTTACAATAAATTTTCGAAAATTTGACATTTGTCGTCAACATGCTCCAGGAGTGTTATATTCATTCCAATTTTAATGAATTTTTTTTTTTGTGAAAGAGTTTGCTTTTCCCTTCAAAATAGACCGCAGTTTTGCCAAATGCTTTTTAATTCAAGCCAAATTTCTTTCCATGATGTTTCACTTTGATATCTGCATGAAGCCAGTTGTCTCTGGAGGTTATCTCTAAAAAATTCGGTGAATGAAAAAACAATTTTAAATGTAAAATATTTAATCTAACAATCGTTTTAATTAACTTGTGAATAATGACCATGCAAAGTAAGCATGGTAAAAATTTCCCTTAAAAATATAAACACACTATATTCTGATATATTTAAGATGTTAGCTAACTGACTCAACTTCAATTTATAGTCCTTCAAAAGTTCTAAACAGTTGTAATGCAGGTAATTGTCAAATCAATATTGTCTTGTTCTGGTAGTTTCTACTCCAGTTGTTGTTCTGGTAGAGCAACAACACATAACAACCAGGTGATCTATAATTTATAGGAATACTTGTTTCAGACATTACTAATCTCTTGTCTCGAAACGCTTAAAAAGCTTTTAATGCTCAATTTCTTAAGTCCCTATGTAAAAATATAGTTGATACTCTAGTATTCCTTAGTTTTCATAGCATTTTATAGTTTTTTGTCAGGGGTTTATTTATTATCTTATTTTAATAAAAAGGATTTATTGGTAATTATATTTGGTATTATCAGGTGTTATTCTTTTTTTTTTTAAAGCTTTATTTCTAAAGTTTAAGCAAACATTGTATATATTTTAAAAATAATTTTCTTTACGCACATTAATATTCTCATTGCAATAAGATGCATGTATTTTGAGTTGGTAGTAGTACAATTTAATTTGTGATATTTTTAACATATATCAAGTATTCCATATATGTATATTTGAATTTGGTCAAAAATAAAAATACTCTACACCCTAATGAAAGCACCGATCAAAAGGTAAAATATTATTTAATTATTTTTTAAGTACAATTTTCAATAATATTTACCATTTCTTTTATTATATCTTTCTAAAATAAATTCTTAACAATTAAAGGACAGTACTTTTTAATAAACTTTTCTATAAGCAAAATATATATTTTTAAAATAAAAATTCAATATTAACATTTTCATTTAAAATGCTTAGAATTTTAT